CGCTATGGTCAACTGGGGGGGGGGACGCTCCGGTCAAGGGGGAGGGGTACGGCGCTCTGGTCGACTGGGGGGGACGCTCCAGTCAAGGGGGAGGGGTACGGGGAGGACGCCGACGCTATGGTCAACTGGGGCAGGGGGGCGCTCCGGTCAAGGGGGAGGGGTACGGGGGGGACGCGGACGCTATGGGACGCTAATTACCATGCGTTCCCTGAAGGCTGCTCTGCAGTTCCTCAACCTGACGCTGAAGAGTGGAGTTTTCACCCATCAGGGTTTCGTTCTCTGACTGTATTGCGTTGTTTTTCTCCTCATACTTCTGCTCTTTTGAGAACTTGTTTTCCAGGGTCTTGTGTTGCTTTTTGAGAGTTTTATTCAGTCTGGTTGCAACTTTTATATCCGTCTTCATTGAGTTGTAGTTTGCCTTACAGGCGTCCAGATGTTGGAGACTGTTCATTAGACTGAGGATATTCTCTTTCCAGTCGTTGTTCTTCAGCTCCAAGGTGTCTTTTAGTTCCCTCTGTGCGTCATAGCCAGACTTCCATTCTTTTTCACTGAGTAGCTTGTTGGTGGCCTCCGTGTGGGCCTTAATTAGCTGTCGCTGCTGCGTCTCCAGAACAGTCTCCTGGACGTTCAGTTGCGCTGCCAAAGATTCTCTGGACGTGAGCTCTTCGTTGAGGTCCTGGATTTGCTGTTTTAAATCATTGGTTGTTCTCTCCAAAGCGTCCTTACGGTGCATTGCGTCCTCATTTTGATGGCGTTGGTTTACAAGTTTCAGGTTTATTTGGCGTTTTTCTTCCCGCTGAGCCAAAACCTGTTTTTCTAACTCCTGTGTCTCTGCAACCAATTCCTTATTCTCGAATTGCAGACGTTTGTAATCCAAGTTAGTCGAAGCGGTTTTGGATTCCAAGTTCTTCACCAAAGACTTCATCTCATCAAGCTGTTGGGCACCTCGTTTACTGGCCTCAGATAAAATGTCACATTCATAGGTTACCTTTTGCAGTGCGGTCTCCAGGAGCTTAATTTTTTGGTCATACTCTTCGTTCTCCTTTGTAATGGATGCAGCGTCAGACTCCACACGTTTTAAGTGGTCCAGCTTTCTCTGCTGCATGTTCAGCTCCACTTGTAGCGTTTGATGTTTCAACAACGTTTCTTTGTTTAATGCTTGTTGGTCTCTGTAGATTGAGTCAAAATGTTGATGATTTTTGACCTTATTAAGGAGACTCCTCACCTCCTTTTGAAGGATTTCACATTTTCTCCTAGCAATGCCTTCCTCCTTCCTGTGATCGGCAAACTTATCATTTTTAACCTTCAAAGATTCCCATCCTGCAACCTTTATTCCGCTCATGTGAATTTTCATTCGCATAGACTTAAGAACTTCGCTGATTTCCCTCAGGCTCATATATTCAGCGTTGACCTGTTCAGATGACTCTTCTGGTCCTTGGTTTGAAAACGGCAGATTCGTTGAATGTCCTTCAGCCATTTCTCCTGTTTGATTTAAATGCTGGTTAAAATACTTCTGCGTACACGATGCAACTTAAAAACGTTGTATTGTCAGTGATCAAAGGTTATGAACTGATAGAGGACTGAGACGAGAAAGCATGCAGCTCTCACGAAGTCCAGTGAAGTTATGAGTGACAAGTGGAACCTTGTTCAGATCAGATTACGGTGACATCACATTCTATTTCCTTTGATGTTAGACATGATGATGTCACTGGCTGGTTGCCTTGGCAACTACCTATGTCATAGGTAGGGGGGTCATGAAAGAGAAATCAGTTTTTTTAAGCTTCAAAAGTCATATATATATCAGGATATATGAGTAAAAAATACAAACACTTTCAATATTTCAAAATATAAACAATAGAAGTTAAATTCATATTTTTTATTGAATTTTTTGTATTTTCCTCCTGGTGAATTCAGTCCACTAGAAAGATGGTGGTCACTGTTCACATCTTTATTGTTCAGATTTCCAGCTAAGATCCGTTAACGGCGCAAAAAAAATATTTTATCACTATAATTTCGCATAGATTAATGTGTTAATTTGACAGCCCTCATTTTTTTTACCATTGTTTCCTGGAAACTTCTCCAATCACAAGTTGATAATAAGGCATACATAATCAAGTCAACTCATCATAGGAGCAGCACTGACAAGCCTCGTCAATGCAATAGCATAATATTTGAACTTTTGAACTGAATTAATAAAAATAATCATGTTTAAATGTTAATATCCTAGTTTTATTACCAGAGGAAATAAATATCTCTTGGCTGATTATATTTCGTGATAACACCACAGGCCTCAGAAAGGCTAGTGAAACCGTGACACGTTGAGGTTCAGCAGCTAGACTGCATATCTTTTTCCTGCATCCTATCCAAAAGCCATAGTAGTGGTAGAAGTCTCGTATTTGAAGACAGACATAGGATATCAATTGGGCTCATTATACTTTCATGAGGATTTTCTTGGAGATTCCACTTCCATTTTGAGGTTACGACCCCAGACTATGAAATGCCGGTCGAGAATCCCCTTCTCCAAAACCAGACCTCGCGTTAACCAGCTAACAGCCCACAATCAATCCATTTCCTCCGTAGAAATGAGACCTGCTCATTAGGCTTTCCATGACCTTTTTACCCCCCTGAAGGTCTGCTCCGCGTGGCTCAAAAGAGGCCGTGTGGCCGTGTTGTTGCGATGCAATTAGAGCGATCACTGCGCTTTACGGTGCAAAGACACACGCATCTCCTCCTCACTCACAGATGGAGGACGACGCCACGGCCCTCGGACGTCTGGTTCAGCGAGCTGGTTGAAAATAGGATACTTCCTACACACGACAAAACGACGCACTTGCACTGCTTTTATCAGCTGCAAGTGGACTTTTCATCAAACGCATAAATAAATACATTCACCGGTCAAAGACTGACAAACTATCCAACGCAAGATTACACGAGAGAAACTTCAAAGTGGAGCATATTTGAAGGTGGCTTTTGAAGAAAGTGCCCTAAGCAAGCTCATTCATCAACAGTTGCATTCCGGGTAAATATTTCCAAGTTCAAACTACAGAGAACATAACTCATTGCTGCGAGCTTGTTTTCAACGTCATCATGCTAAAATACAGAGATGTCAAATATCTCCAGCTATGATCGGATTCTTGGCTGAAGTGCTTTATTTCTACAAACAAACGAACCATAAAGACTTCCTCCTGGGAAGGGGGGGGGGCGCGCACGTGTTCCGGGCCATTTGTTGCAGTCTTATTGCTCAAGAGCGAGTCTACCCCCGAGGCCGTGTAAAGAAAAAGACGGAGCTCAGAGGGCTGACGGCTTTATAAGTATAGTTCAAAATGTGGAGCAAACAAGTAGTACTAGTAGTAGTAGTAGTAGTAGTATGAAGTGTGCGTGCTGTGCAAACACAAAATCAGACTAAATTATTGTCTACTTGGCAGCCTGCAAAAGCCCCTAAAACAGCACTTAGACAGGGACAGTTTGGGAGGGTTAACACATCCTTCGGGCAGCAGGGTTAATTTAGTGCTGCAGCAAATCACGCCAACCCATCCACTCAAAGTTTACTTTGCGCATTTTAGAGCAAAACTCAATCATGTTTTTCAAAAAAAAAGTCCATGAATCTTGGACCATCAATTTCCTTGTGTAAGTTCCACTTTTATCAGTCGGAACAAAACATTCCAACAACCACCTCACACACACACACGCAGTAATGCAACCAATCATGTGCAGACAGACATCCTGCGTCCCCCGACTCCGACACAAACGGGGTCAACTCTGCACACACTCAATGAAAGAGGATCCCCCCCCCCCCCCCCCTCCCAAAAACGACCACTTTGCCGGAGCCCGGAGCGACCGGTGACTTTGTGTCTGCGGCAGCCGGACGTGATTTACTCACGTTCGGCCTTTTTCCACCAACGCCAGCAACCTCCATCTCGAACCCCCCGCCCCCTCCCCACAAACACACACACACACACACACACCATCCCGCATCGCCCTACAGGCACATTTACTGACCCAACTCAGCACCGGAGCTGCGAGGAGAGCGGGCGGTGTTATCAGTAAGCGATAAGCGGAGGTCAGTCGGCGCAAAAAACGACTCAGTAAACGACAGCTGGGGAGTCTCGTGAGTTCTCGTGGGTGCAGAGCGGTTGTTGCTGAGATGGAGGACGGATGGTTTCTCGGGAGCAGCGCACAGGGGTTTGGAGTCGGAGGATTTACGGCGGTGGATCTTTAAAACCAGACGCTGCGGCCATAAAGTGCGATCGCCGGTTCAGAGTTATAGTTTAGCTTGTGCGCAAATTCAGGCATCAAAAGGGCTGCGGAGGGGGAGCGCAAATAGCAACTCACACACACACACACGATTTGGTCCATTTACAGTCGTACGAGAAACATAATACTGATTTTTCAAGCCGAGTGGAGAATATATCTTGTAAAAATCCACGATTTAAATTCAGAACTCAAAAATCAGAATCAAACGTCAAGCGTAACAGTGATCCATAGAGCGAGGTCTATGTGCCAGTATCACACTCTCCAGGCCGTGGTGCTGATTGATCAACGCCTGGTGTTGGAGGAGTCTGGATAGCATGTGTGTGTGTGTGTGTGTGTGTGTCAGCAAGAGGTTAATGTATTACAGCTTTGACAAGTCAGGATAAGCTCATGGGTGGGGAACAGATAAAAAGGAAGACTATCTTTCTTCAGACATTAGGTCAACATGGAAGATATAGCACCAGAATCCTCCTAAATAAACTACTTCACTTGCCAAGAAACTAACCCTGCATTTGATCAGAAACCATCAACGGCCCTTAAAGGGATCACGACCCTCAATGAAATCCTTGAATATTATTTTTAAGTAAATAGAAAAGTCCTTCAAATGACTAATGGAGCAATATTCCCACTGCTGGCACCACAAAACTTGCCCCCTTTATTGTGCACCGTTAAAGGAGATCATATTAGTGAGAGGACATTACCCCCTAGTGGCAGGAAGGGGACTGAGGGGGGCGGGGGGGGGGACTCACCACAGGTGTAGATGACATTGAGGTACTTCCTGGTGCCGGGGTAACACGGATCTCCAAAGTCTCTGGTGGAGGCTCGGACCAGACAGCTTTTCTTTCCCTGACAGCGGGCGGTCAGAACCTGCAGAGCCACCGACGACTGGCAGTCTGACAGAAAGATGGAGAGGAGGAAGTATTAGTCAGGAATAGCAAAAGGTTTCTTGAAAAGCTATAATTATGGGCTAATTAATGCATGAATCAACACAAATATTCACTGGTATGAGCTTCTTAAATTTAAAAATGTTTTTTCTTAGGTATCATAGTACACTTTTGGTCAGACAAAACTAACCTCATGTATAGTTCATCATAGGCTCTGGGAAATTGTATATTGTACCGTGGGATTTCTTTAGATTTATCAGTAAATTAAATGATCTGGAAGGAATCACTAATGTTTAAATGGATATAGCAAAACCTTCTTCCACCAAAGCCTTTTGTGATTATGCATTTCTCAGTAGTAAATTTCCGGCAAGAAATATGAAAAATAAAGTTTCCAGCTGCTACTAACTATGTAACTAATGGAATATCTTTCTTAAACCCACCGTATCTGTATAATTGGGATTTTAAAATGTATTATGAAATGTATTTAATTTTCCAATTTGAAAAGAATAGTGCTCAAAAATACATGCATCAACATAAAAAACACAAAACAAGTTAAAAGTGTATTTATTCACAAGACAGAGGGATGACCCACTAATGAAAGATTTATTAAATAGGAACATTTTGTCCCATTGAAATGTTTTTGTTTTGGGTCTGGCTGCTGCTACTGTAGAGGGTTTGATGGCCAAAAAGCACTTTAGAAACAAACAGACTCACACGCACACACGCAGGAACATCTCACACACTCCTTCCCACGAAAGCCTCCTCAGCTTCCTAGGTGAAACCTCAACGGGGCCTGGCATTGTCTAAAGGTTACCTGATCCAGTGTGTGTGTGTGTGTGTGTGTGTGTGTGCAGACCGGACAACTAGTTACGGTTGTAACTTTAATACGTCATCGCTAAGCACCAGCAGGTCTGATCCTCTGGGGGAGCCTGAGGTCATGATTAAATCTACAGAGATAATATATTTAAATGATTTTGAAATTAGGTGGGTTTTTTGTCTTTTAAAAAACTCTTTTGTTTTGAATCCAGCGTTGTGTCGCTGGCCCAAATACAATTTAACTTTAACTACACGGGCAAAGGGGGCGGGACATGAAACATCCCGTAGTCCACGTATAAAAGCTGTGGTTCAGTGTAGTGTAATGTGTTGTTCATAAAGACCTCCAATCTGTGGCTGCAAAGTGGATGTTTTACTACCGCAGATTCTGTTTGACATCTTGAACAATGAGCCTGGCGCCCTCGAATCAGCATTTTAAACTGAGGCGCGCTGGTTGGCGCTGATTAGGCCCTAAAGAACCTCCCGCTGAATCCTGCGGGAATGTGGATGTGCCGCGGTTCCACGTGGACGACTCCCGCAGGTTCCCCTCTAAAAACAACACAAGGAGATGAGCCTTTGAAAGTGGACACTGGGCATCGTCTGCCCCGGTGGGGCCCCCCCGAAACAGACGCAGAGACCAGACAGGTAGAGAGGAAAGGCCAGTCAAAGCTCGGCTCGCACGTCAACAGGCCACAGTGACTTATGGCACAGGTCAGAAGGGTCAAATATCTCAGTCAGGGAAGAGAAAAGAGAGCAATCCAGTGGTCATGCACAGTGTCAACAGCGGGAACTCCTTGAGCGGTCCGACTGTGCAGTCCCGTCATATTGGATTACAACCACCTGAATCGAGGGCGACCCTTTTATTTTCTTTGTTAGTAGCGAAACCAGATCAAAGAACGCGCGTAGAAAGCTTCTTGAGAACGTGAATTAACGTCTGTCCGCTGGGATGTGGTCCGAAAGGGGCCACCGGACGCGCTGGAATTCACCACCGGGACGTGGTGATGTGGGAACCAGTGGGTGCAACTGGATGACTGGTCAGACAGCGATTAGCGATTTCACCGCTCCCGCTGTCACTTTACACAACCACAGGGACAACTTAACTCTCTGGTGCAGGGAAAAAACCCACTCTGTCTCTGTCTGTCTCCAGTTACTGTGGTTACTGCGGTGCACCCCTCCCCATGCAGACACACCTTTCTGCTTGCTTGCTTAGTGCAGTAGAAACATGTCTTAAAACGTCACTGCATCAGTTTTTGCAAGAGCGCAAAACGTTATATCACTGTAATATCACTCTGCTTAGCATCCTAACCCTGCAGACTGGGGACGTCTGGGTGTTTATAAGTCTAATATTCTAAAAAGGCGTAGGCCGATATCAAGGTTGTAACTGACTGTAACTGCAGGCCGCTTTTGCTTCGAGCATTTTCTCTCATTAACTGAATAACCTTTTATTTATTAGTCCCAGAAAAAACAAAGATACTCAGTTCAGTGTCCATACTGTCATGTGTTGATGGCACACGACAAAAAATTACATTACAATACTCGCATTTGACGAGCTGGAACCGGCAAATATTTGGTATGAAAAATGGCAAAAAAATGCTAAAAACTAAAACAGCTTTAATTGAGATTTAACAGTCTATTTCAAAAAAACACATATGATCATTTAAACCCTATCGAACAACAGAGCTCAATGAACCCTCCGGTCTTTCTACCTTGACACCGAGCCCTGATTTTGTATATAAAAACAGGAGCAGGAAGCAACCTTTCCCAGAAAATCCTCATGGCGACGCTCAACAACATTCCTCACAACTTACCTGGAATTTACAAGACAACGGGCTGAAAAAAAAAGCACTGGTTTCGTCCTCTACCGCCACTCACCTGAGATGCGTATCACTTGCTGGGGCGGCTTAAGTCGAGAGACATAAAAGAGACCTTCGATGCTGTGATATGAAGGGGTGCATTGCATTAATTTAAGTATTACCGTACGCTGTCTAAACGTGGAGCACATGCAGAGATCCTCTTCAGCTGTTTGTAAGTTGATCAGGTTTATTCTAGAGCAGCGATTCCCAAAATGTGGGCCGCGAAGGTACTGCAGGTGGGCCGCGAGAGGTCAGTTACTATAAATAAATAAAATGGTTTTAATTTTCAATTTTGAAAAGTTTGAAATTAATATAAAATATTTAGATTATTTGAACAATTCTAGCGGCACATTAGTTATGTGAAACGTTAATTGATGAAGCACAAACAGATTAATAAAACAATAAGGCTCTCGCTGACGTTATTCAACCAAAGGCGCCGCCAAACAAAACAATGTCAAACGGGGCGCCCTCTTGTAGTATTAAAGTAATAAAAGTATATGAGCTCCGGAGAAAATGGTATACAAAACGTTCATTGTCGGTTAATACATTTTTAATTGGTTCAATTCTTAAGGTCATTTAATCATCCCTAGTTTATGTTTTGATCAGAGTTGTGATAAAAGGTTTGGGTGGGCCGCAAAAGATTTTCAGATTTGAAATTGGGCCGCGGCATTCTTGAGTTTGGGAACCGCTGTTCTAGAGTAAGAGGCACTTGGAACAAAAACAGTCTTCTTACATTCAAACACCACATCTCTATTCCAACCAGTGGGGAGCCGCTGCCCTACACCTTAAACCAACGCGTCATCCTCGAAAACAGACCGAAGTCATTGGTACCTGGAATATAAACGTCAGGGTTGTTATTTTAGAAGAAAAAAACGACCACCTAAGAATCCAGCCGTAACTATTGCTTTAGCTCGACAGGTTTCAACCCAACCAACTGTATTTGATCTAATCGAGTCCTATCTGCTCCGTACGCAGCCAGAAAGAAATGCAGATAGAGTAACCGAGAAGCAGCGCTCACGCCGACAACTGGAGCAGAATCCTAAAGGCGTTAAATTTGACCTGCAGCTGTGCATGCTGGGCTTTTAAAAGCTGCTGTGATCACATGAGACGGCGGGCCGTCCGTGCTCACGGTTTCAAAACATCTTGAGCCTTGTTGTCCGGAGCACAAACCCAAAAGTGAAAGCGCGATGGCCTTCAAAGAAAAAAAAAGGACGAAGAAGCCACCTGAGACCCTGCATGCCGAGCACCTCTATTTAGATGTCAAGAGGTGTGTGTGATGGTAATGGGACAGATGAGAGAGGAGGGCTGAAGCAGGCCGCTTTTGCTTTGAGGATTCTCCATCGCCGCCAAGACCTGCCCCAACACCCCCCCCCCCCTCCACCCTAGAACCGGGCAAAGGAGATCAAAGAGGTCTTACTTTTGGGGACACATGCCAGCGTGGCCACTGGTCATATTTTCCGTAGGGCCTGGATACGGTAAAGCAAGATTAACCGCTCTCTACGGCTCTCCGTGTTTTTAAACATGCTGCAGAATTCACAAGCTAAATATGTTTTGTTGTGCAAAAAAAAAAAGGAGGCTTCCTTTACAGACGGTCGCCAGCAGGCCACAAAAACAGAATCTATCTGTACGCGACAGGCGGCTGGTGTTGAATTGCAACCTCGGGATGAACCCCGCTTTGCTGCTGCACACGGTAACGTCCATCTGACTGCATACACGCACAGTTCACCTGGGCAGGTGCAGCCACGCGGTGCGCGTTGAGCCGAGGACCTCTCACCTCATCGACAAGACACGCGAACGGCAAATGGAAACAAGCGAGTGAGGAACCGAACCGCCGAACCACCTCGGCCTGCGAGTCATTTCATATGAAACCATCTGCGTGCTGCTTCACCTCCTGCTCCTGGTGACACGGGAGCCACATCAGAGACACGGTGGACGGGGGAAATCCCACAAAGGGACGTCCCGACAGTCTGGAAGCGCCTGAGGAGGCGTTTGGAGTGTGTGAATAAAAAATAACAACGTGCTCAACAGGAACAACGAGGCGTTTGTGTACGTAAAGTCTGCGAAAACAGTTTAAGTCACAAAGTCACACGAGATCTGATGGCAAACACAATCATTATCTGTAACAGTAGAGTTTTCCGTCGATGGATTACTATACTGTATTTAATCCCGAGTGTGAAACCAGATATCAGGACACGATTGTCTCACCTACGTAGACATTCCTGGTCCACCTGCATGAGGAGGAGGGCAGAGATTCTTGCAGAGCAGACCTGGATGCTTATAGAGTATACGATAACACACACACACACACGCACACACGCACACAATGCCATTCTTTATATGGGTCTGATTATTAGGTGGCTGACGCCTGTGTGTTTTCATTCAGTAAAGTGCCCCCCCTGCTTGGGCAACGTATTCACAAGCACTAACATCAGTTCACGTTTCCTTCTGCACGTTAATGAAACAAAGGCAGAACAAGTTAAGGCCAAATAGAGGAGCTGTGGTTTTACTAAAACCTGTAACATTCCCCTAAATAACACGCACACACACAGACACACTCACATACTTGGAGGGAACTCAATACTGTCGCTTTTCTACGGGCCGATCTCTGTGCTTTGGGCGACAGAGACACCTGATCTACATTCCACCCCAACCGACCCGAGCTTCAGTGGTGGTTCCACACGTGTCCCTCGGCGTTCTTGATGACAAGAGGAATACGTGTTAAAGAGTCACATGACATGAAACAGGACATGTAACTAGTTATGAGTCGGGCAGCCTTTGGAGTTCGGGCTTTTTGTGAATAAATAAAGATTGGATGGATGCTTGATTATTGTATTCGCTACGACTAATCTTCGCAACAAGAAAAAAGTCAAAGCCGAGAGGACCTGAAGCCTGAGATGAGAACGTTAGCCTGACAATGAGACTCATTTTAACATCATGCAAAAGCAAATTGGCTCGATTTGCATCCTCAGCTGGTGTCTTCAGAAACCGGTTTCCTCTCCTGACCTCACGCTGACCCCGAGACCGGAGCTGTGAATGGAGCAAATGCTGCTAATGTCAATAGTATGGATGATATTATGATTCCCTCTCACTACAAAACACCCGAGGCCTCTGAGCCTCAGGCACTGCGGGAATGTCTCGCCGGCTTCTGCTGTGAGGCTTTCAGCTCTTTTTGACAGAACCTGTCAGTACGCGAACAGTTAGTTGTCATGACAAAGAGAAAACGGGTCTTTTGAGCTCAATCAAAGATCATTTTTAAAAAGACTGCATTAAAATTGAAAAGCTGTCAAAGAAAGTGTCGCACGCGGCGACCTGCATGTGAACACGCAGTCACTGTAGCATCACAAACATGGTGTCAACTTGGTCACCTTGGTTACTGGTTACGGGTGTGTGCACATTTGCATGGTTGACAGCTGGTACAACAGTCACGTTGACCTCAGTTCACATTAAATCTTTTACCCCTCCCACTTATCACCGATCATGTGACAGCAGCCTCCCCTCTCGCCAAACACCGGCGGGCCAGTGACGAGGTGCCTCACCTACTGACGGGGCCCTCCTGTGGTGCGGGGGACACTCCAGGGTGCCCTGTTGAGTTCGGCCGAACATGGCGGAGTAAACGGCGATCTGCATACCCGGTTTGCAGCTCAGCCTCATGCGCTCCTCCTCACACACCACCTTGCTCTTATACTCGTCTGGTGGTAGAAAGAGCAGAGGACACACGCGTTGATTGAGAGCAACAACAAACAAAACCCCCAAAAAACAGAAAAGAACAAAACGAAGCAGCACGCGTTTCTGGAAGCGGAGGAACCGGCAGACGAGGCTCCATTGATAGGCAGGTGGAGTTGCTCAGTGGGACGTGTAGAGCCACGCAGGGTGCATTCCTCACACACATCCAGCCACAGCGACCTGTGACCGGCAGGAGCTGCTCCACCGGCCGGCGGACGGAAACACTTCCGCGTCCACGTGGGGAGCAGGGGAACAGGAATGCAGGAGACAGAAAAAAAGAAAGAAAAGGGGCCACGGCGTAGTTTGTTGCATCTCTTGGTGGCGGGTTTACCCTTCTCCCCCCCCACCGCCTTTCTCCTTCTCCTTCCTCTGTCCTCCACCCACCTGCCCTTTCCTTTCAGAGGCAGCGACACCTGTCCGCTGCACCTCGCTAACACCCCACGCAGGCCTTTCTCTCTCTTTCACTGACAAGTCACTGGTTAAGTGACGGGGAACAAAGATCTGTTGATTGGCCCCCGGGGTCCGGTAGGAGAAGCAAAAGTGGGGAGGGTGGGGGTACGGGGGGGGCGGGGGGTTAATGCCCACTTCTGGTCGCTGTAGCGGCACTGAGCCGTGAATGGGGAGCAGAAGCTGGGTGGGATTACTGCACTGTTGTGGCTCCCCTCTGGAGTGATACTCTTAGCTTCCTGGCTCACAGGGAGAAGGGGAGGGGAGGGATGAAGGGAGAGGGGTGAGGAGTTGGACTTTTTTTTAGTGAAGCAACCGAAATGAGTCAGGTAGATACTGCAATGCTTAATCCGGTGTAGAAAATTATATAACAATCCCAATTTTAAAAGGTATAGCTGTCAAAACACAATATTTTTCTTCTCATTGACAAATTCCTACATTTTTCTTTTCAAATACTGAAAGCAAAGAATGAAGAACTGAACTTCTAGCTCCAATAACAATTGTCTTTGACTATTATATATATATATATATATATATATATATATATATATATATAATAATCCTAAATGAACCTTCCTCCGGTGCGTTTCTGATTGCATGTGGAGGTGTGTGAGGAAAGAGAAGCATAGAAGCGTGTTGTCCCAGTAGGGAGAACAGACCCAAACATGTATCGCTGTCAAGATACGAGGCGGGCGAGGGACTTACTAGGTCGACATTTGTACCACACAATGAGGTATTTACTGCTGCCGGGACACTGGTCCGTCCCGACCACGCGGCTGTTGACAAGGACTTGACAGCTCCTTCTGTCCTGGCATTCGTCCAGCATTTTCTAAACCAGGACAATAGATGACAGCAGGTAGGTGTGTGTGTGTGTGGGAGGGGGGGGGGGGGGGGAGAACAAAGAGACCAAGATCAGAAAAAACTCTAAAACCACATCAAACAGGCTTTGCGTACAGACATGGGAATCAGGAGGAGAGGAGCGTCTGAAGAGAAAGCACCGCCACTCATTTCCTGGCATCCTTTGGCTTCTCTGGTTTCATCATCTTCAGCCGGCTGGAAACACAGGTGAGCACATTCCAACACAATAGCTTCCCCGCTGCCGGAATCCCACTCTCAATGGGAATGACTCAATGAAATATACTATAAAACCATTTTACAGAAACGGGGGAATTTAGAATGAAGAATGATTTAGAAAATGAAGAAAAAAAATCGATTCAAGCAGGTTTAATATTTTAAGGTAAAAGACATCGTTCATATAAAATCATATAAAAGTACCACAATGCTGACCGCTTCTAGTTTACTTTTCATTAAGAATTACCTGTAATAGAGAAACAATTCGTCAATTAATGAATAACTAGATTTCCCAAACATCAATCGGCAACCACTTTTCTATTTGTATTTTGTATAATGCAACTTACAGAACAGTATGTGTTTTTTTTAATGCCTATTTAAACAATATTTAGATGTGCATTTTGGGATATAAATTGGGATACCCTAGAATATTATATATATATTCCTATGGAGAGATACATAAAATACCAACCGACCCGGGGTCACAAACAGGTCGTATGGTGGGATTCTTCAGGGTCGTACTAATGTGTGTGTGTGTGTGTGTGTGGCGCAGCAGTCAGTCATTCTCTCACTTCAGCACAAAGCTCTCTCTGTGCCTGTGCGTCCATGGCCGCCCTGCCCCTTGTGGAAACGGAGGGTGTTCGATGCTGGAAGGCAGGGGCACCAGGAATAAACCAAAGGACCCAGTGAATGCTGAACAGGATGCTTGTGTGTGTGTATGTGCGTTTTGTGTTGACGCTGAAAAGGGAGGGTTCTACTCCGGCCGCATCCCAATTTGGGAGAGGATGCTGAGGCAAAGACCCCGTGAAATCTCTTTGTCTCACGGGAACAAGCATGCTTCCTCTTTAGCGGGTGTAATTTGCCGGAAAACGTCCTCACAAAGCATTACGCAATCAGCGTGGTCCTCGAAAATATTACCCATGCTCAATTTTACAGGACACTTTCTCTCAAGAGGAGCTTTTATTTTGAAGGTGTGTGTTTGTGTGTAAGAGTGGACGAACTGAAGAATAAAAGCCAATAACAGAGAGAGAAAGGGTCTGGGACACATGGGACTAATTAACAGAGGCGTAGTCCACCAATGATGAGGAATATAAGAAAAAGTAACCAAAATGATGACAGAAAGATTATTCTCTGACACAAACTCTTTCAGGTCACCGACCTGCAGTGCGGTGGACACAGAACAGTATCGCTCATCCTCCCAGGCGGTGTAAGAACTCAGGAGGGCCTGGTAGGTCGGCGGGCACTGCGGGAGGTCGGAGGCGCCTCTCCTCCCGTAGAAAGCCGATTGGACGGTGATGGTGGTGCGGGGCGGGCAGCGAACAGACAGGAAGTCGCCGTCACACGCCTGCTCGCTGTAGTTCCTCAACACTTTGGACAGGTAACCTGGGAGACAGCGAGAAACGCCAAATCAGCCGTCACGTCGGATCTCTGGAGCCCATCGACATCAACAGACATCTTTAAGCTGCGCGTTTATTTCACTAAAGTGGAACCAATAAAGGAGAAAATCCTTACTTAGCAAGTTAAAGCTCACCACTGCTTTGCATTGCCTAAGCTAAATAACCTTTTAATCCCCCCCCCCTCCCCCGCGACACCCTCTCCCTCATTTGCATCATATGTGTGATCTTTTAAAGGGTCTCTGGTGATCTTTCTGTTGCAAAATCACGTGTTTCCGCGGACATTTGCAGCAGCTGCATTTCAGCGAGCCCCGACAGATCACTGCTTACATCTAGAAGACCCCTCCAGGCCCAGAATGCCCCAATAACACAGAGAGGGTAAAAGCCGGAGCTTATTTTGCCGTTGGTCGTTGGCCCGGCGGTGATGCCTGTGGAACCCACGCGTATCTGCCTTGATATTACCTGAATACCTGACAGGGAGGATTTTTAAAGCCCGACTTTATTACACTTTCTCGTTACCGGGAGACACACATGCCTCCTCGTTGGGCGCTTTGCACAGTTCTGAGGCGTAGCTCTGCAGAGCGCTGCCACTACGAAGCCACCGGGTGCCTCGGATACACCTGCCACATCATGGAGCGGCCTTTCTTCATGCTCACATTTTCTATTTCTTTTAGTATGTTGCCAGCAACTACAGTATATTTGTCTTGCCCACACAACCAGCTGGTAATATACGTAGTCAATAAAAAAAAACATTATATAAACCATTTAATGGAAAGAGCATTGGCGGCTGCTTCAAATCACACAAAAGCGCTCATTCTTTTAAAAGAGCAGAAGGAAATACTTTTATTTGAGTCTCAAATGTCTAATTTTCCAAATTCATCAAGGTTACTGTAAATGAATTGAACTCCTACAGAGACAAGTCAAAGAAGTGCAACGATTTGTACCATTTTCTCAACTGAAAACCACTTCCTGGTTGAGCTCGAGCTTCCTTCTAAGTGCTCTGCAAACACATTTAAAGAGAAGTGAACGCAAACACACACAGAAAGCGGAAACACTGTGATTCAATTATCTGTATTTGGTTAGCGTTTGGGTAGAGTGAGAGGAAACACACGCGCGGACGCAAAACACACACATTATCACCATGACAACGGATAAAAGACAGAAGGAGGGAAACAAGCAACATTCTCAGGCTTTGAAAGGTCGGCCTCTGAACGGAGATGCGTATTAAAGCTCACAGCAGCAGGTTTCCACCTGTTATGGAATTATGGGTTGTGAAAATGGACGACAGGTGCACCAGCATTTCCAATTCAAAATTGTTTATTTTATTTGATCCAAACTAGGTCCGATCCGTCATACTGGTTTAATATCAAAGAAGTTGGAACCCTGAGATAAGATCTGGTGAGAGAACATGTCGGCTGTCTGTATTTGAACAATGAAACACTCTTTACACGACTTCATGTGCGAGTGACCCAATTCAACCCTTTTCTTTTTTTCTTTTCCCGCTGCACTTATGCCGTCACTTACTGAAATTTAGGTTCTCTCTTACAGTCTTGTGGACTTAACTAGTCTCTCTCCCTCCCACAGCGATCGCCGGCTCACACACGCAGGTCTGCCACATTCCACCCGGGGCGAGAGGGAACTAGGCATCCCCCCCGGCAGTTAGACCACACACACACACACACACACAGGCATAGAAAACGTGAAAACAAACAAGCCATGGCGCTCGGTTCCTGAGGCCAGGGTGTGCGGTGCGTCCGGGGGTAACGCGCTTTATCACATTATTAAGACCTGATCCTTGGCAGCGCGCCCGTGCCATGAGAAACCACGCGGCTGCAGGGGCGTGACCGTGGAAATGGCCCCCGGGTTATGAAGGTTGGGTGGATTCTGCAGATGCCGCTTCTTGGGAGGCGTCGTCGGGGAAAGGGATCGCTGAGCGCCGACAAAAAAACACGGATCCGCCTCCCTCCTGCCGCACAAAGTGAGACGGTGGGTGAAGCCAAACAGATTACCTCACACAAACCCCTCAGGTGCTTTCTAAAGAAATCCTCCTCCCACTCTCTCTCTCTCTCTTCTTCTTCAGGATCTTCACTATTGTTCCCTTCCCGCTGTACCTGTTGACTGAAGACTCCTTTCAAGGCCGAACAAATCAGGCGAGGTTGAGGCACCTGTGTGTCTCGGCCAGCCAATGACAGGTGTCCCTCAGAGGCAGAAGGCCGAACAATGCAGGAGGAGGAACACCCAGGCGTCTCTCTTGTCCTCCCCGCTCCTTTTCATGTGGGGCCAGACTCCTTCCCTTAACTAGCTCCGTGCCCTTTGCCTTGACAAAAGGCACCGCTGTATTATGTCTGCTGGTTTCTTTATTCCCTCATTAAAAAGACAGGAGGCTGCGGTCGCGATGATGATGTCCGGGAACGAGCGGTAAAAGGCTTTTGTCGCGAAGCGGCTCGGAAGCGGCCCGATTAATTCTCCGCACAAGCAGCTTGGCGGTTGGCTGAAAACGCAAGGCGACGGAAAGCTGCTTCGTGATTCCGATGGGAGCTTGTCATACGATGCGAGAGGCAACGGTTTTCTGTAAAGCAACGCTGGAATGGGAGACCCCTTGTGATCGCCGGCTCCTCATTTGTGGTCATGTGGTGACCCTGAAGTCTGACCCGTCGGTTGAGAGGTCAGGTATGATGGGGATTAGTGATGGGTTGCTGTGTTGTGTCAACATGACAAACAAAGAGGCCTGTTTGGCAAAGACACCCCCCCCCCCCCCCCCCGGTGCAGGTCACGTCCCATTGCAGATTGTGGGTACGTATGCTTCGTTATTACTTCTACATAACGTGCATTTCCCCAGCCGGACCTCCCAATGCAATAGAACCGGTGTCTCCTTTCAGATCAGACCAAAGGGAAGCTCTTTTATTCCAGGTCTTCATGGTCCACTGAGCGGAGGTGCTCAGGTGGAGCTCCGGTGGAGTCAGGGCTTTCCCCTGCATTTGAAAGATGCCACCTCCTCCTATTGGCTGGAGCAGGAACAATGCATTACTGAGGGGTTATAACAGCACATGCTTGATTCTGCTTATTATTCCACTACTTAAAATAAACAACCATTTATGTTGCTTGTGAGGTTCGTAAAGCCTGTTGAAATGTGGAAAGAATGATGAGGTCTTGCAGGAAGTGTAGAAAATTCAATCTTAGCCTAGTGGTTCAAAGGTTCCAGTTCACATTGTTTTGCAGTGATGATCAGCAGGACGGAATAAGAGTTGTAACTGCTACTTTTAAATAGATCATGCATCAAAAGAACATTCCATAGAAAGAACAAAAACCAAGACCTTTTTAAGAATCACCAAATCAAAAGGCTGGATCACGTTTCATCTCGCTACATTAGCTATTTAGGCATTTACAGCTTCATGATTTTATTGGTGTTATTTCAGGCAAATTATAGCCATCAAATGTTCAAAGATGCAGGATTGCCGCTGGAGGAGGAGCCTTTTCCGCCAACTGGTGATTACTGGGAAGAGCGAAGGTTTTCCCTCAAAGACGCTTTCTGGCAACACTCTAGAGGAGACAAAGGGGACTATGAAAAGAAGACGACGAGTGACGGAGAAAGAAGGCGGAAGATAAAGACATGCTGAATAATCCAGAGGTCAAGAGGGCATTGGTTTCGATTGGACGAGAGAAACCAGCGTATTGTTCTGAATGAAAAAAAGCTGAGGCAAACTATAAAAAGGAAGCTCACAGGATGTGGCAGCAGAGGTCTAAAAAGGCCCGAGTTGGTGGCTTTAGGCCTCGTAGTAATTACATTCCTCCTCCAACCGCAGAGGCGGCACAGGGGGACATGGCGCTTGGACAAGACAACCACCGACTCTAAACGGCACGTCGTCAAAACTCAACGCATTCAACCTCTTCGTACCTGAACTTGAGCTGAAGACTCGCCGCGTTGACGAGGTGCCTCGACGCGAAATGAGACCGCCGCCGTGAAGAGACGTGGACGCCGCGGAGGACACACCGCTGCACGACGGACACAACGTCAAAAGAAAGCCACGGCCAACGGCTGCTGAAAAACTGCTAAGCCTTTTAGATTTGGGTTTAAAAAAAAAAAAATGCATTCCTAAAATGCACTGCATTCCTCTGCTTACAATGCATTAGTCGTGCAGCTATAGTCATGTTTTGGATTAACCTACTTTCTACCTACTTAATTCGGCTAAAAGGCAGAAAAAGAGCACGGAGATATTTTGCTCAAACCTTAAATTTGAGCTGAGCAGAACCATTTTTTAAAGTGTTGCAATAAGTGCTGAGCGACTAAAAATTCAATTTTGTGCATGAAATTGAACAAACATGCACCCTCTGCCCTTTTGGCTAAGAGATGATATTTAATGAAATGTTGTGATCTGGAGATTGGGTGAACGAACGAACATGCTGCTCACATCAGAAAAGCAGCATCGTTCAGTTTGTTATGGTGCAGGATTCTGAACGCGGCCTTCCTGCTGTTGTTTAGTTTAATTATTTTCTCTGTTTTTGGTCTCTGCCTTACTCACAAAGCAGGATTTAGATGGAAAAAGCTGGATTTGGATGAGAATACCAGGCTGTTTTGCCGGTGGATCAGAGCAGGGAGCGCCTACACAGTTTTGGGAGCTGCGATAACTCAGAATTCATGCGCTCTCAGTCGTTGGTAGCACGTCGAGGCGCAGTGGGGAAGCGTGTGTGAGTAGTGGGCTCGTGTGGCATTGGCAGCATCGTTGGGTGGCACGTGACGACTGAAGAAGTGAGCGAGGTGCAGGGTTCCTAGACTACTTACTATACACACAGACACACACACACTCAGCTGAGGGGGCTTAATGACGTGAGGTCGGTCCCCTGGATTTAACCCCAGCATTGCTTTTCCTCTTTGACTTCACACTGAAGAGTTTCCTCCCCTCCTCTCCGGGATGTAGACCAGCATGGCTCTAAAACGTCACATCACAAACAGCTCATATAATTGCGAATAGCGTGGCGAACGAAAAAAGG